TATTAACATAAATCCTAATTAACCAAATTATAGATCATATTTTGATTAAATTGATAAACTCAAACGAACATTTGATTCTTATCCACAGGCACTGTAAGAACAACTACAAATGCACAAAGATATATTGATCCTATTTCAATACAAAATTTTATAGATATGTTACAATTATATAATACTTTAAAATTCATCAGCAATTTAACATGTTTGCCTGTGGATTAATGAATCGTCGTCATATTGGTACTATATGCTTATAAGTGTATCATTGTAAAACTTCTAAAATCATATGGCAGCAAATGCATTAAGGAAATATACTGTTCTGTTACCAAAAACACAGAACTATACATAACAAGTAATTGCCAGTAGCCTAAGCTCTAAAAAAACAACCACGTATTCACTAACTAAGTCAAAGATGTTAAGTCAAATATTAATAAACTAAACCCTTACTATTAATAAAGTCTAACTGTGGTCTATATATTGAATACAAAATATACTATTAATTAATAAACTAGTAACATCAGAATGGCTACCAGTCAATGAGCTTTTCAAGCTACATAATTAAATATTTCACATCATCATGTTACATCAGACCAATGCGGTCTATGTTCAAGCCATGTCGAAAGGCTATGGATAAACAATACACGTATACGCGTTACGCGTACATGTTGTGTGATTAATGCATAAATATAAAGAAATTTTAAATAAAACTTCACTAACATGAGAATCAACAAATGCTCACAATGTAGACATTGAATATTAACATATTTTAGCTTCTTGACGCGAGAATTATGCTAATAAAACCATAAATTTATTTACCTTATTGCAGTGCAAGCTTTGTCTTTCTCTAGCAGTAGCTCTCTGCGCCAAAACTTCTAGCGAGGCTTCTGCTTGTGTTGTTGATGGCGCCGCTCAGTAGCTTGTCAACAAAATTCGTCCGTGAGGCATCGATATTCTTTTCAAGCTCCGTATACAAACGTTGTATAGAGATTCCAAATTGTTTGCCGCAATCGCAAACTGAACATTGTCGAAAATGTTTCCAGATATCGCTGGTAGAAATCGCTCGTAATAGTAAACGTTCGAAATAGTAAACACTCAAAGGTAAACATTAATGCGGTGTTGACGAATACCTCACGTTGCGAATCCGTCGAAAATATAAGCCAATGACAGTGCAGAATTTTTTTAAATGGTTCAATCAGAAGGCTCATACAGAGCCCCTGAATCTGCAAATCCGTCAGGCCTCCCCACAGATCCGTCGCAAATGGCCGTAACCATGAAAATGAGCATGTCAGCCAATCAGAAAGCCGGATTTGACCCCCGAATCCGTCAACTTTCATACGTAAGACCGCTGTTCGTGACTGACTAACATTACTTTGCCGAAGCTCTGCCGCAGCATGAAACGTGTAACTGGACTACCGGTACGATTCAAATTTGAGTGTATCTAAAAGTCGAGAGTAAAGGTCGAGAGTCGAGAGTAAAAGTCGAGAGTCGAGAGTAAATGTCGAGAGTCGAGAGTAAAAGTTGAGAGTCGAGAGTAAAAAGTCGAGAGTCGACAGCAAAAAGTCGAGAGTCGACAGCAAAAGTCGAGAGTCAACAAAAATGTCATCAGAAACAACAAAGTCAAAATATATTTAACACAATATATAGCCGTACGTTCCGTAACAACGGCTGAACTACAAACTTTCGCATATAAATATAGCTACCATAGGCGTACCGGGCGGGGGGGCGGGGGGGGGGGCAGTAGCCCCCCCAGTCTTTTGGGCAGTCGGGCAATATTCGATGAACAGTCGGGCAATATTCGATGAACAGTCGGGGGGGGGTCGCCGAAATAATTTTTTCGGAAAAAATTTTATAGGTACTAGTCGGGCACAATCCCGAAAAGTCGGGCAAATTTCTTTCCGCCCCCCTGATCTTTTCCTTCCGGTACGCCCATGATAGCTACAATAACAGTCAATAATATAAAAACATGAACAAAAAAACTGCATGATATATACGAAACTAATCAGTATCATATGTGAAGCTTTCATCTTGCTAAAAGTCATTTCATTAAATTTTGCTGCCTTTCAATGACAATGTAGCACATAAACAGAATTTTGACAGACAGTCGCAGATAAAACATTGTCTATTCTCACGACAATGTCATTGTCTATTCAATGTTTTTACCGAGAAACTTCAATGTTTGTGATATTAATCATTTGATGGTTTCAATGCCGGATGATTCCAGCCATAGACTAATTTTGATCTAGGCAAGAAGAACAAAATCCATATTTGGGCCGAAAGAAATTAATACAAAATTTGCAAATTCCGAAGGTGTTATTTTCCGCATTTTACAACATTTTTCGCGGGCAAACTTTGCAATTTTACTAATTTTAACATGCTCTTTCTAGCTGTGGTGATGGATTTTGTTTTTCTTGCCTAGATCAAAATTAGTCTATAGCTGGAATCATCCGGCATTGAAACCATCAAATGATTAATATCACAAACATTGAAGTTTCTCGGTAAAAACATTGAATAGACAATGACATTGTCATGAGAATAGACAATGTTTTATCTGCGACTGTCTGTCAAAATTCCGTTTATGTGCTACATTGTCATTACCCTGGTTCCAGAGGTTTATTTCATTGAAAGGCAGCAAAATTTAATGAAATGACTTTTAGCAAGATGAAAGCTTCACATATCATATGATACTGATTAGTTTCGTATCATGCAGTTTTTTTGTTCATGTTTTTATATTATTGACTGTTATTGTAGCTATATTTATATGCGAAAGTTTGTAGTTCAGCCGTTGTTACGGAACGTACGGCTATATATTGTGTTAAAAATATTTTGACTTTGTTGTTTCTGATGACATTTTTGTTGACTCTCGACTTTTGCTGTCGACTCTCGACTTTTTGCTGTCGACTCTCGACTTTTTACTCTCGACTCTCGACTTTTTACTCTCGACTCTCGACTTTTTACTCTCGACTCTCGACTTTTACTCTCGACTCTCGACATTTACTCTCGACTCTCGACTTTTACTCTCGACTCTCGACCTTTACTCTCGACTCTCGACCCTCGACTTTTAGATACACTCTTCAAATTTTAGTAACTCGATCTACTGGCCACTATAGATAGCTGGAGTCAAATTTTTTTAAGTAGGCAATTTTTACTTCAGTCGCGCGACTGATTTGACGACCCCTAGATCTGCCCCTGAGGGTAGGTGTAAAAAGTAGTGAATAGTGATGGGCGATACCAGATACTTTTAAGATAATTCGATACCGATACTTTTAAGATCGGTATCGGTCGATACCTATTTCGATACCAAAATAAACACAAAATTTCAGTTTTCGATACCAGAAGTGAGTACTTAAACTGCTGGTATCGGCTACTTTTGATACCTGCTGGTGGGCGGAAAAACATTTTACATTACTGTATGTAACGTAAATAAAGCTATAATTAAACCAAAAGCCTGAAACGTAATAAATATTTTCTATACATGACTTGGCGCACCACATTTGTAATATTAAGAATTATTTTAGTGGTTTATTAAGTCTTATTCAACCAAGAAGTGAAATTAAACAAGTCGTTTAAAAAAGGGTACAAGTATCGAACGATACCACGTCAATAATCGATACCGATACCGCTGTTTGTGGTATCGCTGGTATCGAATACCGAGTACTCGGTATCGCCCATCACTAATAAAAAGTGACTAAAACTTATGGAATTTCCATGGGATGGTCAACATGCCATGGAAAAGAAATTCCAGAGGGCAGAGGATAGGTTAAGAAATCAGGAAATTCCACTGACTAGTCAGAAATTGTCAAGGAGTTTCCATGAGGTGGGTGGGGTGAAAACTTCCAGACTGAACAGCACTTGAAGTTGTTCTTAATTGATTAAACAATTGATTGGCAAAGATTAATATTCAATTCCTTCTTGTCAACCAGTTAATTGTACTGATGCATTTAATATTTTATTTTGCAAGGTATTTGTTTCAATGTTAGTAAGGTTACCTCAAATGAAGCAATTCTGGTGTGCTGCTCTGGTTGCAACACTTGAAACAAAGATCAATAACAGAAAAACAGAAAATGCCGACATTGGGAAGACAAAGTCTAGTAGTTTTGATTTGAAGGATAAGAAGACAAGGAAAGTGAAGATTTCTGTCTGCAGTATTTCTGAGAGTAATCAAACAAGACTTGATAATTTATGTTCGAGGATAAAAACTAGTTCAGCATCAAGTAGTTCTTTGCTGACTGCTAGACTTGAGCTCATGGCCAATTCAAAAGAAGGCCAAATTGATGCTGCCAAGTGTGAAGAGCTGAAAATTGATCAAGGCAAATGTAACCCAGTGACTGATATGGAAGTTGACAATTCTATCCAATCAGAAGTAATTGAAATTTCTGACGACTCACCTGAAGCATCACCAAGTGAACCTATTGAAATTCCCAACCCCCCTGTCCTGTCAACTCACAAAACCGTGGGCGTCACAGTTCACTCTCAAGTAATATCACTTACTAGAGCTATATCTGAAATACCTTACCCCCAGCCTGATGATTCAACCTTACACAAAACAAATGAAATCCCAGCTAACTCTCTAGCATCTTTGCCAACTTTGTCTGAAATACCGAACCCCCCTGACCTGGAAATCCAAAACATGGAAGTTGAACTTTCTGAAGAAGATGCTTTCATGAATCAATATAACCATTTGAAAAACCATTTAAGGTCTTCAGAAGATCTAGATGTTGAACTTATCCAAAAATTTTTAAACTGTTTTCTAGAAAATACACTTAAAGATTTGTTGACGATTTTCACGTTTTTGGAAATGAGCACAATTCCTGAAACCTCGACAATCATGCTTATCAAGCAATTTTTGTTGTTAGAGAAAGAGTGTAGCTTCCAGGCAACTGTCATATTTGCTTACCATTGCATTAGTGTGTGGTTAGGTGGTCTACAGTCGGCCCCATCACGAAACCTGCTTGCAGCTGTGACAACCTTTGCACAGAAGCATCCAAAGGCGTTTGTTGATGGTGCCATGGTAAAACAATTCAATACAACTTTGCTGTGGCCACAATGTGACTTGACTGTTAAAGTTGTCAAGAATTTTGAAAAAGAAACATTGCAGTATTTCATGGAAAAATTGGTAAAATCTAATGAGGATTCATTTTCAGTCTGGAATGAACACATGATCCTAGTGCTCTCAACAGTCTTGGAAAGACGGTTAGAACTAGATGGGTCAATTTTTGAGAAATTTGCAAACTGGTTGCAATTCCAGTCATTGCCACTTGCAAGTAATTTAAAATTTGCAAAGTTAGTATTAACAATAATCAACAAGTATGGCTCTCTTGTAAAATCATGGTTGCCTACTTTTAAACAAATATTGAAGGAGAATAACACGTTTCTTAAGAAGTCCGGTTTGACCGCTTTGAAAAAACTGGAAGATTGATATTTTTGTCTTATGTTTAAAAACTGGTGAATTTCTGAGACAGGTAACTATCTTTTAATTTATTTTTTAATATAAAAAATAATAATGTGATCAATAACAATGTAATAAATAATGTAATAATATAATGTACTTATAATTATTATAATTAGATAATTGTAATAATTATATTTTTGTTCAAAAATAAGTATAATTACCGTAATGACTTAAAAGGGGTTAATCCAATCAACGATGCAGTCATCTAGATGTACAACAACTAAGGAATCAATCCATTGACAGTATTACCTGTTTTTCTTTTTGAGCTATGTACATTAGTCAGGACCAAGTCTTACAGTTACAAACACCAAAGAGTTGCTACAAGCATAAGAGATTCTACAATAAGGTTTTTAAATTCCTAATCCCATTTTCAAGTTTCTTATACTTTTCTCTATGTTACTTTTTTGCTGCAGATACAGATTATTCTCGTTACGCGACTTCTCGGAATCCTGCCTTTTTTCTTCCCGCTTGCCGTTTAATTTACCACTCAAACGCTATCCCCGCATTTCAAAAAACATCTTGCAGACTTCAGTTGAAATGTTTTAAGAATTGAGTCTCCGTTACTGAACGATCAAGACAGAAAGAATAAGAACAGCTCACAAGTGGTGTTGTAAGCTAGGTTTCACTACACTTTTAGATGAGTTCTTCTTCTATAGCAATAGACTCAATGGCTTAAAAAAATATTTCATTTTCTCTTCACAGGTCCTGATTTATCAGATGGCTGACTTGTGCTTGGTCCACTGCCATCATCAGACTGTATTGTGCTACCTTCAGATTTCTTACTGTATGGTGCAATGTCTTTTAAGATGGTCAATGCTTGGTCTGTTAATTCCGACGCTGTATTGTCTGTGGTATCGTGGATATTAAGTAATACTTCATCTAGGCTCATCTCGAGAATCGTATCCCTAAAAGGTATGTTGAAAGTATTGAATGACGTACTGAAAAAGCCTCGAGTTCTGCTAGAAAGTGATAAGGAAATGACAATGTATATTTATTTATATGTTTCTTGAAAGTGGGCGAACTCCTAGCTACGTTTTCTGAAGGTGCTCAAATCAGGAAACATTGTTTCCACAACAAAGCTCACACGTGGAAAACACCAGATGTTTCCGAATTTCCAACCTCGTTCCCAGGCTCTTCCCTCTTGTGGAAGAGCCTGGGAGCGAGGCTGCCGAATTTCCATTTTTGTATGCTTGGGAAAGAAATTTTGTTTCCCCAACGTGCATGTCGATGTTTGATGGAGCAGAAATTTGAGCTTAAGAAAAATAGATGTCTCACAACCAGTCCGAAACATTTGGTCTGAATAATTGCAATATTTAATCGTAGCTCTATACTTACTTATTTTCATAAGAATCAACTACAGCCAACACTATCTTAGCAATGACCGTTTGCAGAGCCACATTCGTCGTGTGTGAAAACTGAAGCAGGGTTGGTTTTAGTTCGCCTGACTCTACCAGCTTGGAACAACCCTAGACGAATACAGGTTGTGGTAGACTAAGTATAAATATTAATGACACAAATTTACAGTCATGCATTCATTCACACAATGAACAAGATGCTGAAATGAACAGATTCAAACATACGTTTTCATCCGAAGCATAGTATAATATTATTTTCCCAGCCAAAAGGTAAAGTTGTTCGTCTTTTTCAAACTTTGGTACAGACAGAAGTTGTAGAAGCAAGTTGTTCTATTGAAAAGGTTAATACAATTTTAATTGAATGTTGTTGGTACTACACACAAAAAATGCACATGTTGTTACAGATCTGCAAACAAGTTGTAACAAATTTGTTGTTAAGACGCTATGTTCGCACTGCTTGTTCCCAGTTGTTGCGATAAGCCTGAAGAAAGTTGTTATAACCTTGTTACAATGTTGATGACGGTAATAGACTTACTACAAGTTGTTCCAACAAGACTAATACTGACTGTTCGTAACAAGTTGCTACGAGCTTGTTGTCATCAAGTTGTTACGTGTAAACGATGTCAGACTTGTTGAAACAACTTGTTGTAAGTCTGTTCACGTGGCCTCATCAACGTTGTTACAAGATGATAACCACTTGTTCCAGACTTGTAACAACTGGGAACAAGCAGTGCGAACACATCGTGTTGACAAGCTGTGAGATGCGTGTATAAGCGTCATCTCTCATTCAAAAATCGACATACATTAGCCAATATGACAGTCGGATTTTCTATTGCCAGAAGTTCTAGAGTTTGCAAGGCCAAACGAAGTGTCTCGTGGTCATCAGCTTTGGAAAGCGATAATAATGCGTGAACTAAAAGAAAGAAAAGATAGTAGCACGTTTAGTCATTAAATATTCAGCTTGTTGATAAATTAGCATAGTAACAGTCGGTTGAAACTGTCCATGCCTGCAGAGTTATTACTATGGATGTAAAGTTAGTATACCTGGGGCATTTTGTGTTGACATAATCGAGCGAATTTCTGAACTGAATGCCAACTCAAGGAACATTCCGGCAACGATTCTTGAAAGTGGTGCAGATACTAGAATAACGAAAAAATATTTCAAGTAAAACTAGTGTGCAGTTTAAGACAAGCAAACGCAAAGCCCAATTAGTGAGACAGCAAACTTAGCGAGATCTGATATGCCGTCAGAAAAACCATTAGTTTTACCTTTAGTTGAAACGTGAGAGAGATCATTTAACCTAAAACAATATTGTGAAAATACTCATCATCACTACCACCACCATCATATATCCACAGAAACAATCAGTGGCGGATACTGGGGAGGAAGGAGGCAACTGCCCCCCCCCCCCCCAAATAATTTCCGGAAACATTTGCTTGATATCTGAATAACTGGGTAACAAAACTTTGATAATTATTTTTCGACCATGAAACAATAGTAAGCTATAGATTAAGCTATATATTGCAAGTTTAAAGAACTAAGATTTCCAGCAACAAAAGGTGGTGGCGGCAACCTAAATTCGCCCGGCCACTGTGAACAATAAATACTTGAAGTAAACACCTCACCCGTTCTCAGTGATGAATGACAGTCTATTTGCTTCATTATCAGCGACAATATACGACATAGCTGTTACAGCTTCAGTCACCACACGCATATCACTGCTTCGTAGTAAAGCACATAGAGTACGGATGCCACCTGCCTCTACAAACTTTGCCTATAAACAATAGTTCTGATATGTCAGGTAACTCAGTTCTATTGATAGTTTGGACGTTCTCTGGTTTTTAAAAATCTATTGAAACGAGCTTTCGACTGCCAGTCTGCAGTCTTCAACGGGCAAGGGAAAACATTGGTTTACAATTACGTACAAAAACAATTAAACAGTTCCGCTCCGCCTACATGATAGATGTATGATAATATTATAACAAGAAGAATAGATTAACTGTTCAAGATCTTTTTAGGAGAAACCGGTATTGTTCAGGAACTGATCAGTTCTAGTCTAAGTGGTCTGACAATTTGCATTAATGAAGCGGGGGTAGAACCACGGGACCAATGAGTTCCCAGAAAATATTTCCCCAAGAAAAAAAGATAAAGAAGACTTTTAAAGGGAAAATTCTGACCTGTACTATAGATATGACCTCAGAAATGCAAATTTCCACCCTTGCTGAATGAAGATTTATGGACTGAAAGCTTTGCATTGGTATTTGCACAAAAGCAAAACAATCATTAATATTAAATATTGTTGAAAAGCGCATACTACATCACATAGTGAATTTAATTGGATTGTAACAAAACAGATAGTAATTTCACCTGGATACTAGGTACAGTTAACATCTCTGAAATTGCCTCTGTCGCGTACTCTTGTGTTGCCTATTGATAAAAATATGTTGATGTTGTTACCGTATATCTTTAAACTATCTGATCTTAATTACACGTTACTTTTCAAAGAAATTGCCGGAATAAGAAATGCCGATTCTACTCACTGAATCTGTGGACAGAGCCAAGTTAATCAAAACTTGTAATCTGAAATAGAAATTTAATTCGCTCGTCAAAAAATTTACATGTCTCTGATCGCTTAGCTCGACTTATAGAAAACCATATAGCCATTACTCCCATTACTTAATGTTCAGAATCACAGGAAATACTAACTGTATCAGAACTATATAAGATGTGAATACTTACCCTCCTTCATTCACAAGCGCCATCTTGGTTTCAGTGTTACTTGCAACAAGGCTAACCATTTCAAATGCAGCATTTCTTCTTTCTTTTATCCCACCCAACTTGGCACTTCTTAATACTTTATCAAGATCTCGAGATTGGACTAAATTGTCCACTATTATATCACCCACCTGTCGAAGCAGAAATACGATAGGGAATCTGACTATAGTCTTGTTATATGTAATGATGAGATTTTGAGTCGGACAGACTCGGACTGAATGTATAATGTAAATTAAGGTACCATTACCTCGTACTGAAAGTTTCTGAACAACAGCAAAACAAGTATGAAACTTGCGAGTAGGAAAGCAGCGTGGCCCAAGTAAAATACAACTATAAATATTAAAACATCAATGTTAAATTTTGTGCAGATGAAGAAGATACTTGGAAGATAAACAATGAGGTGTTTGCGTTGTATAGTGCGCATCAGATGGGAAGACCATGTCAGAACTGAGGGGTTACTGGAAAGAGCACGAATGAAGTCGCTAAGAGAGGAAGTCAAATCAAGAAGATGGAAAATAACTGGTCATATTCTGAGACAAGATCGAGATAGCGATTGCAATGAGGATATGACATGGGCACCAGAGGGAAAGAGACGAAAAAGAAGGTCTAAAACCATATGAAGGAGGACAGTTGAAAAAGAGAAGCTGGATGGGGTTCTTTGGATGAGGGTAGTAGCAGCTGATAGGGAGAGGTGGAAAAGCTCTGTGAAGGCCCTGCGTGCCACGAGGCACGTGGAGGATACTGTAGGTATCAGGTATATTATACTGTAGGTATATTAAAGCCCCATTCGAACGAGTCGAACATCGTCTAACACTGTTGCAGAATATTGGATGAAAATGTTAAACAAAGTCAAACCCAATCCAACATCAGGCATGCATTACCTAACAGTGTTCAACACCAAAAAGATCGTTTATTCGAAATGTATACGCTCATCAAAGTTTTGAAAAAGAAACATTTACAGACTATATCCGACCTTTGCAGTTGTTTTTATACCTGACCATGTAAGCACTTCTTTTTGTCGATTACACGTACTTTCAGCTTCTCCACAGGCGTAGGACTAGAAAATATAAAAACAAATACGGACATCGTGTCAGTATGGACATAATCATAAAGTAAATTTAGTAAAATCGTATGGTATTATTTATTGTGTTTCTTTATTGTACCTGTACTTCTAACACAAGGTAAACGCCCATAAGAAGAGATGCAGTAAAATGAAACGCTGATCCAATGCCATAAAACATCAGGAAATGGTAGTTACTAAATAATATCAGAAAATTGATATTATATACTTGGTCCAGGATATGTGTAACCACTTAAAAAAGCCGTGTTCTTTAATGTACATATTAGCGAGTTTGGCAACGCAGAAACGGCTTGGTTAAAGATTGAAGATTGATAAGTTCTGGTTATATATCTTCACCTGATGTTGTTTCGTCCAACAAAGCCAGCCATTTTGGAGTACGTGGGACAGTAATACAATCCAAACAACATTAAAACACCTAAAAGTCGTAAAGAAACTAGAATTTAAAGACCGGTTTAGAATACCAAAAGAAGCTTCCTTGAGATCAGAGTTTGCTTACCGGACCAAAATCCTGAGTACCAGAAATAACTGGAAAACGCCATGAATACAGCGAGGAAATGAATCCAAAGTAACGCCTAGAAATATATTTAATTTGGGTTTTGAGTTGAAGTATCTAGTACTTGGAAAAAGGGCGATCTTGCATGGGATCTTGAAGAACACTATTGGCTTTAGCAACAAAATTGAGGAACCTCTTTAATTTTTCATACATATACTTTATGGGAGAATCCTTATTTTGTAATATAATAATAAATATACAATCATGTAACAGAAATACAGTACTTTATTGTTACACCACGGTTAAGGGTTACACTTACGTACATAGTGGCGTATTATGTTACAAAGTGCAGACTTTTCATACGCACTTTTGAGGAATATCGAAAAAACAAATTCAGGATGTTAGCAACATTGAACACTTTCTCCAAGTCTGACTCGGGTGACAATTTTTTTATTTTTTGTGGACAATATTTTACCTTAAATAATCCTAAAAAGTCTTCTCTTCTCTTGAAGATCTTAGCTTCCTCATGAACGGCTTTCTGTATTTCATGCAAGTGTCCATCTTGCAAGAGTTCTGGCTTAGGTCCAGGCGTTAATGCATCTTCGTCGATGTTTAGGCTAGGTTTTGAGCCAAGCTTTAATAACTAAATTTCGTTCAAATACAAAATTAATACTATGATACAAGTTAAAAAACATTAAGTAAATTGGTTTGTCAGAACGTTCTGAATACAAAACAAATGTAACTCCAAAGATCGATAACATTTTTATCAGATTTATCAACGTTTCGACTATATTTCAGTCATCAGGATATAAAACATAGTTTACGAACGTTGATAAATATAAAAAAATGCTATCGATTTTTGGAGTTACGCTTGTTTTGTATTTTGTTAAAATACTTAGTGGTTCTAAAATAAGTATATTCTGAAGTACCGGAAAAACTATAAGGTTTTGGGTGGTTGATGAGATAAACCAATCTGCCGAAATTGCAGCGCGCCCTTAATTATTTTTAATTGTCTAACACAATTGTGTGACAATTTCACTCGTGAAAAAATATTCCACGACACTAGCATTGGATGATTACGTTGTGATTACGTGGACACCAACTACCGTTATTAGTTACTAGCAAAAATATAAAAACGTACGTTTGCATTTGTTCGAGCCATAGGCACCATTTTGATAACAGAGTTATCAAGGATTCCATAATCCTAAGTAATTTTCAAGAAATTAGAGAGACACTTTTAGGCAATGTGGAATGCAAGGTTGAGACTGGACATGTTATAAGATGAGACAAAGAAAACCTGTGCAGACACATAATTGAGTGACGAGATCAAAAGATGTGGATTGATTATGTTACACATTGCAGAGAAGGTGAAGAGAGCAAGGTTAAAATGATATGGACACATAATAAGAAGAGAAGAAGGAATGCTTGTCACAGACATTATAGGATGAAGAGGTCACAAGAAGATGTAGAATGGTAGACATTGCAGAGAAGATGAGGGAAGCAAAGCCAAGATGGTATGGACATGTAATAAGACAAATAAGATACGAAAGTGAGCTGGTTAGAGACATTATAAAATGAAGAGATCACAAAGAAGATATAGAATGGTAGACATTACAGAGAAGATGAGGGAAGCGAGGCTAAGATGGTATGGACATGTAATAAGACAATATGAAAGTGAGCTGGTTAGAGACATTATAGAATGAAGAGATCACAAAGAAGATATAGAATGGTAGACATTGCAGAGAAGATGAGGAAAGCAAGGCTAAGATGGTATGGACATGTAATAAGACAATATGAAAGTGAGCTGGTTAGAGACATTATAGAATGAAGAGATCACAAAGAAGATATAGAATGGTAGACATTGCAGAGAAGATGAGGAAAGCAAGGCTAAGATGGTATGGACATGTAATAAGACAATATGAAAGTGAGCTGGTTAGAGACATTATAGAATGAAGAGATCACAAAGAAGATATAGAATGGTAGACATTGCAGAGAAGATGAGGAAAGCAAGGCTAAGATGGTATGGACATGTAATAAGACAATATGAAAGTGAGCTGGTTAGAGACATTATAGAATGAAGAGATCACAAAGAAGATATAGAATGGTAGACATTGCAGAGAAGATGAGGAAAGCAAGGCTAAGATGGTATGGACATGTAATAAGACAATATGAAAGTGAGCTGGTTAGAGACATTATAGAATGAAGAGATCACAAAGAAGATATAGAATGGTAGACATTGCAGAGAAGATGAGGAAAGCAAGGCTAAGATGGTATGGACATGTAATAAGACAATATGAAAGTGAGCTGGTTAGAGACATTATAGAATGAAGAGATCACAAAGAAGATATAGAATGGTA